ACTCCCCCGCCCCAGCCTGGAACCCCTCCCGCACACTGAACTCCTCATTTCTGGCCCCACCCCAAAGCCCACACCCCCAACCAGAGCCCTCACCCCATCCCACACCCCAACCCCAATTTTGTGAGCATTCATGGCCCGCCATACAATTTCTATTCCCAGATGTGGCCTTCGGGCCAAAAAGTTTACCCACCCCTGCCCTACAAGCTATACGAACAGAGGATAGCAGATGGAATAGCGCCAGCAGTAGAAGGCCAGTTGACTGATGACAATGCCCAGGACCTTCCTGCCTGTGGCCCAGTTGTAAACCTAACTCAATACATCGAAGATGGCTTCGAAGCCTGTAAAATTACAGAAGTTGTGCTGTTGACCTGTCAGTTGCTTATAACCCTGTGAACTATCATGTGCTTCTACTGAAGTAGCAAGGCGGCCCAAGTCATCTCCCTGCTCAAAAAATGACCTTTTATTGTCGTGATGGATGGTCAGAAAAGTTGATGTCGTACTCAGTGGAACGGCTTGCCCCAAGGTTCCGTGGCGTCACCCTTTCTGGTTTATGTCTACACAAATGACCAACTGGAATTCCCGATGTGTGAAGATTCATTTAGGCAGATGATCTTCGCGTCATTACCCAATTGGAAAGATTGGAGGACATTCTAACTGGCTCCTTGAGTGTACTTGGAGAATACTATCACACATGGATCCTGAATGCCAGCCCTAGCAAGACACCAGCTTACACCTTCCACCTGAAACACCGTCAGGCCCAGGGCCGGCTTTAGGCCGATTCCCCCAGATCAGGCCCCGCGCCCTAAAGAAGAGTGCCTAACTTAAGCACCTTTTTAATTTTTTTACTCACCTGGCGGCGGTCCGGGTCTTCGGCGGCACGTCGGCGGCGAGCCCTTCACTCGCTCCAGGTCTTCGGTGGCATTTCGACGGCGGGTCCTTCAGTGCCGCAGAAGACCCAGAGTGAGTGAAGGACCCACCACTGAAGTGCCACTGAAGACCCGGACCACCGCCAGGTATTCGAATCGGGCCTCACCCTTCCTAAAGCCGGCCCTGATCAGGCCAAGCAAAACTATCGTGGGCAGGTACACGTGAGCTCTATGAATATCCAGTGTACCTAAGGGTCACATTAGACAGAACGCTGTCACTCAAAGAGCACATCAAGAAGCTGAAAAAGAAAGTGAACTCCAGGAATTGCGTACTCCAAAAACTTACCCACATAAAAGGGGAGCTGACCCCAAAACACACCAGCTAAGCAGTCTTGCCCTAGCTCCAGAGTACTGCGTCGTGTTTGGTCCAGCACGAGTTATGCACACAAAATTGTTACTGAAGTCAATCAATCCCACAGGATCATCACAGGCACTTTTAAACTGTAGCTATACTGCCTTGCAGGGACTGCGCCACCATCAGTGAGGTAGAAAGGAGAGACCAAAACAGGTGCAGGATCCCAGATACCCACTGCACGGACACATTCCACCATCCAGGAGGCTGAAGTCCCAAAAGAGCTTTGTCTCTGAAAATCCCTTACCCCAAATACCTCTGTGGCAAGCTCCAGAGTAACAAAGAAGCAGGAGAACTTGATTCCTTCAGAGCCACTCCCTCCGGGCACAACCTTGAACGAAAATTCTGCATCGCGGCTCCCAAGGGGCGGTGCAACACCCCCAAATTTGAACAGTCTCTTGGGGTGCCAGGTGCCCAAGTGGTCTTCCTGCACAGGGCAGGCCATGTGGCCTCCTGGGCCTGTATCTCTGGGGCTCCAGCCCTCCTGCTTTACACCGGAAGCTCTCTTCAGTGAGGCCAGCTGAGAGAGACTCCTGGTAGAGACTCATCCTCTCTTCAGGGATTAATGCACCTCATCCAGCATTTGCAGTGACACCAAACAGCGTGGGCAGAACAGTCAGGTTTATTAGTCAGCTGCGACCCAGCCGAGGAAGGCCTTAGGTTGGCGCAGAGAAAAGAAGGTTGAAACTTGATCTACTGTGGTCAACCCAGATCCCAGCCACGCTGTGGCGTCGTGGCGAACTTCACTTTCAGGCTCGCTGTCTCTCTCTGACTTCTTTCCTTAGTCAGTTCCGAGGTGAGAGCTCCAAGCTTCTTCCAGCAGTCACCCACACCCCTCCCACACCTCCCAGTCCTTTGTTCTGGAGATGGGCTCTCTGCTCAGCTTCTCTCCTTGTCCTGGAGAGTGGGCTTTCCATTGTCTTCTCAGATGTTCTGCCAGTCTTTTTTAACGACCCATTCAGTCCGCTCTGACAGGCAGGCCATACGAACGAACACACACACACACACACACCCCTATGTCTCAGCCTTCACTGAGAGTAAACTTAATCCTTTTCCTCCCCACCAGGTCGCCATGCAAGATATAGGGGAAACTGAGGCACACATAGGGCTCGTAAAAATACTACAGAAAATATCCGCTCTGTCACACACAGATGTACTCTAAATCAAGTGAGAGCCGGGGTGGCAGAGACAGGTGACAATACGATCAAGTGGAAGCTGAGGAATGGCCCAGATGTGAACGTGGAGAGCCTAGGCAAACACCTGAATGCTGCCCCCCGCCCTCTTGAGGAAGTATTTGAGATAAGAGACACCACCAGGTCATGGCTACGGTTTTGGCGTGATTAGCTATGATGATTATCTCAGAGATGCCCTCCACGCTCCCTTTTCCAGTGCCCACAAGTGATCCAGGTTACATATGATCCTTCCCATGCATGTCTTTGGACATGTCTCCCCCACACTCACTCCTTTTGTAATACACTCTGCAAGTAGTTTTTTTTCTCTTAATTAATTGGCCTCTCAGAGGTGGTAAGACAACTCCCACCTGTTTATGCTCTCTGTATGTGTGTATATATATCTCCTCAATATATGTTCCATTCTATATGCATCCGAAGAAGTGGGCTGTAGTCCACGAAAGCTTATGCTCTAATAAATTTGTAGTCTCTAAGGTGCCACAAGTCCTCCTGTTCTTCTTTTTGCGGATACAGACTAACACGGCTGCTACTCTGAAACCTAAGGTTGTATAGAACATGCTCCTGCTGGTTGTTGGGGGA